AAGCTCTAGCCAAAGATCCTTTTTGAACTCAGCTGAGTTTTCCACTATTTATAGGAGTTTTAGATGTAACTAACCCTTATAATCGCTTCTTAGTGGGGTCGTGATCCCCTCAGATCATACAAAACGGTTTTGGAACCGTTCAACTCGTATTTGAATGAGTCAAACGCGAAATTCGCATTCTAGGAATGGACTCTGTGACTTGGACTTCGGACGCAGAGTGGGCTCTACGTTTAGGTCTAAAAACGCAATGGTAAACCCTACGTTCTGTTCATGGAACGCGGATGTGAGTTTTGCGTTTTGTTCTTGGGACGCAGAGATGAGCTCTGGGTCTTGACTCTGGAATGAGAGGTGAGCATCTGCGTCTTGAGGTGAAGAGACCGTCAACTTGTAGTCTTTTTTGCTAAAACGTTGCAAAGATTATTGTCTCGTAATCTTTGTCTTGGCTCCTTGAAACATGAGTCGTCAGTTGTCACTCTTGTTGGTAATTGTGAAGGTCGTCGAATCAAAACTTTTATCAGTTATTTTGAAGGTTGTCGAATTGTAACATTCGTCGATTGACGTGAAAGTCTCCTAATTGTAACATTCTGAAAGTCGTCAATTTGTAACTTTCATCATTGGTGTTTGACGTGGATCAACTATCCGCAGTAATTTTTAGACAGCCTACAGCACACTTCAAAATTTATAAATTTTCATTTTGATCTAATGGCAATTTAAGTTTTTCGCTTCAAAACTCGTAATTTTTATTGACTATAATCAATAATTAATGTTCATTTTCCTTTGGATCCACCAAATGGAAATTATTTGGCGTACTTTAAAATTAACAATTATTGTTAGTTATAATCCATGATTTTTTGAAGTTTTGGTTCGTATAATCCATGACTTTTTAAAGTTTTCGTCCGTTTGGACATAATAGCAATTAAGTTTTTTCTCTTCAAAACTTGTAGATTTCATGGAGCGTAACCAACGATTTCAATTCATTATTGTTTGTTCAACCTAATGGTAATTATTTGGCGTACTTCAAAATTCATAAATTTCATATGTTATATAACTTACAATTTATGTTAATTTTCGTCCATTTCTACCCAACGATAGTTAAGTTTTTTTCTTCGAAACTCACTATTTTCATAGACTATAACCTACAATTTTTTCCACTTTTGTTTGTTTTCACCTAATAAAAATAATTTGGCGTGCTTCAAAATTCGCAACTTTCATAGACTATGACCCATGATTTTTGTGACTTTCCATTTCGAAAAAATAATAATTAAGCTTTTTCCTTCAAAATCCATGTTTTAGTCCATGTTTGCTTGTTTCGACCTAATGAAAATTAATTTTTGTACTTCAAAATTTGCAAATTTTCATAGGCTAACCCACAATTCTTGTCATGTTTCGCCCTTTTCGACCCAATGGTAATTACATTTCTTGATTTAAAACACACAATTTACAAACTATAAACCATGATTTTTTTCAATTTCATTTATATCCACCTAATGGAAATTATTTGCAAAAGTCGCAATTTTCTTTTACTTTAAAAATAGCAAATTTCACGGGCTATAACCTATTATTTTTGTTATCATCCATTACCTAATGGCAATTGAGTTTTTTTCAAAACTCGCAATTTCCAAGGACTGCAACCCATAGTTTCTTCCCATATTTATTTGATTTGATCTACTTGAAGCAATTTGGCATACTTCAAAATTTGAAATTTTTTCATGCATTATTACTCACGATATTTTTCAATTTTCATATATCTCGACATAGTGGATTAAATTTTTTTAATAACTCACAATTTTCATGGACTAGCTTACTATTTTTGTCCATTTTTATTTATTTCCACCTATTAGAAATTATTTGGCGCACTTCTAAGTTTGAAGTTTTCATGGACTATATAACCCACAATTTTTGTTATCTCTAGTCAATTTCAACCTAGTAAAGGTTAATTTTTTTATCTTCAAAACTCGCAATTTTCATGGACAATAACCCATAATTTGGGTCTTTTTTTTGTATCCACCCAATGAAAATTAGTTGGCTTAGTTCAAAATTCGTAATTTTCATTGGCTATGACAAAATGATTTTTTTTTTATTTTCGTCAGTTTGGACCAAATAGCAATTAATTTTGTTCTCTTCAAAACTCGCGATTTTCATAGAGTATAACTCATGATTTCAATCCATTTTTGTTTGTTTCGATATAATGAATTATTTGGCATTTTCCAAAATTAGCAATTTTTATAGGCTACCTACGGTTTTTGTTATTTTTCATCCATTACGACCCAATGGCAATTATTTTTTTTAAAACTTGTAATTTTCATGGACTAGAAACCATGATTTTTGTCCTTTTAGTTTCCAACTAACAGGAATAATTTAGCGTATTTCAAAATTTATAGTTTTCATAGGCAATAATCCATGATTTTCATTTACAATTTTTATCCATTATGACCCAAAGGCGATTAAGATTTTTTTCTTCAAAACTCACAACTTTCATGTAGTATAACTCACTATTTCAGTCCATTTTGGCTTGTTTCGACCTAATGGAAATTATTTGGCGTACTTTAAATTTTGTAATTTGACGAGCTATCTACGATTTTTGTCATTTTTCTTTCATTGGCTACCCAATGGCAAGGTTTTTTTGCTTCAAAACTCACAATTTCATAACAAATGATTTTGTCCATTTTTATTTGTTTCCACCTAAAAGAAATTGTTTGGCATACTTCAAATTCACAATTTCACAACGCTATAACTCAAATTTTTGTTTGTTTGGACCCAATGACAATTGATTTCTTTTTACGGAACTCACGATTTTTATAGAGTATAACCCATGTTTAGTCCTTTTTTCTTGTTTTAACATAATGAAAATTGTTTATTGTGCATCAAAATTCGAAATTTGCATAGGCTATTGAATTTGTTTTGTTATTTTTCATTTATTTAGACCTAATGGCAATTTAAGTTTTCTTCTTTCAAAACTCGCAATTTTTATGGAGTATAACCTACGGTTTCCGTTGATTTTTGTATGTTTTGATCTAGTTGAAGCTATTTGGCATACTTAACATTTAAAATTTTTAATAGATAATTCATGTTTTCAATTTTCATCCATCACGACACAATAGTAATTAAATTCTTTTTCTTAAACTTGCAATTTTCATGGAGTATAACTTGCGACTATTGTCTATTTTTATTTGTTTCCACCTAATGGAAGTTATTTAGCGCACTTCAAAATTCGTAGTTTTTTTGGGTTGTAACCACGATTTTTTTCAATTTCATCTGTCATGACCAAATGTCAATTAAGTTTTTTCTTCAAAGCTTGCAACTTTCATGAAGTATAACCCGCAATTTTAGTTTATTTTTTGCTTGTTTCAATCTAATGGAAATTATTTGGCATGCTTCTAAATTTGCACTTTTCATAGGTTATATAACCCACGATTTTTATCATTTTTCGTCCATTTCAATCCAACAGCAATTGAGTTTTTTGCTTCAAAAATCACAATTTTCATGTATTATAACCCATAATTTTTATCCATTTTCGTTGGTATCCACCTTATGAAAATTATTTTGTGTACTTTAAAATTCACAATTTTTGTTGGCTATAATTCATAATTTTTTTTATATTCGCAATTAAGCTTTATCTTCAAAACTCGCGATTCTCATGAACTACAACCCACGATTTGCAAATTTTGACGTGCTTCAAAATTTGCAAATTGCTGTTTCAACCTAACCAAATTTTGACGTGCTTCAAAATTTGCAAATTGCAACTGTGATAGGCTATAACTTGTGATTTTAGTTATTTTGTGTCCATTTCGACGCAATGACAATTAAGTTTTCTTTTCGTCAATGCTCCCAAGTTTCATGGACTAACCCAAAGTTTTTGTCATTTTTTGTCGCTTTCGACCCAATGGCAATTAAGCTTTTCTGTTTCAAAACCCGCAATTTTCATGAAGTATAACCCATGCTTTTTTCTATTATCGTTTGTATCCACCTAAGGAAATTATTTAGTGTACTTAAAGTTTGCAATTTTCGTTTGTATCCATGATTTTTCTCAATTTTCGTCTATTTAGACCCAATGGCAATTAACTTTTTTCTCTTCAAATCTCCTGATTTTCATGAAGTATAACCAACCATTTTCTTCCATTTTTATTTGTTTCAACCTAATAGAAATTATTTGGTGTACTTCAAAATTTACAATTTTCATGAGACAGATTTTTGTTATGTTTTGTCCATTTCGACCCAATGGTAATTAAGTTTTTTCCCTTCAAAACTCACAATTTTGATGGTCTGTAGCCCACGATTTTTCTTTGTTTTTGTTTGTCTCTGCCTGGTGGAAATAATTTCATGTACTTCAAAATTCACAATTTTATACAGATGCTTAAAAGTATCAATCAAATGTGACAAACATAGATATACATATAAGATTGAAAGATCTCAAAATCTAATTACTGAAACACTTTGTCAACATTATGGAAAAAATCAACCATTGAACAAAAAATTTCATATTTGCAAGTGGTTTTTTAACTAGGACAAGAAATGTTGAATGGAGATGCTTGATGATCAATAACTGAAGTTCCATGACCTAGCATAGGATATAAACGAAAACACAAACGGGAGATCTTCCTTAAAACAAAATTCAAGTAGTATAAGGCATATATATTACTGAATTTCAAAAACAGAAACAAATGCTCCTAGTATGACAAATGCCACTAGCCGTTGGGAGAGGACTGTTGCATATTTCAATGAAGAGGCAGTTGTCTTATGAGCATATGAGATTATAAATTCACTAGTAGCAATCCTGCAATATAAACCTGATCCGTTTAGCAAACTACTCTATTGAAAAATTGATTTGATTTTTACTCAGATTTAAACTATTGACATTGGATAACTGTTTAAATGCCATAATTAATGATAAACCAAAACGTCATGTTGGGTCCGTTAAATTAACAGTACATGTAAGATAGGCAACACTGATGTCATGAAGGCAGAAAAACAATTTTATCTTGCATCTTCTGCAAAATTACCTCTGGTGGGGCAAATGATAGATAGCTTGAGTGTTGCAATGAACTGGAGATATTGTATCCAGGAGTCTCCAGAGGAATCCCGAACATATGGGGGTCTGACAGTATCGGATAACCATCTGTATGTGGGACATCCACATAGTAAGGAAGAGGAGACCTGGCAAATAATGGTTTGAAATATTAACTACAAAATTAAACTAAAGGCTCTTCTTATGCATTTGGTATTCAAAGCAAAATCACATTTTTAAGTTGTCAGATTCTATAGTACAAAAAGAAACAAAGAACATATAAACATGAGCGGCCTTTTCAGTAGAAAAAGGCATGTGAAAGCCCTTTGGTCAAAACATGGCCAAGCTATTCAAATTTTCAAATTAAAGATAGAAGCAACATGCTAAGGTGTGTGTTCTTGACCCCACCTCACTCTTCATATGACTTTTTGTGCCATATGATCCTAATGCTTCATGTTGTGTAGTTTCCTTTTTCCTCAGTAAATAATTCTTGGCACTTGAATGATTATAAGTTTATACTGTGTTTTTATTCTTCTTTTATTTTGGTAATAAACTTAGGGAATTACTATTACATCCTAATAATCGTCACAAATGAAGCCCACCAAATTCAGGTTTGATTTAGGTCATGAATCAAGGTTAGACTTCCAACATTTAGGTGATGTTACTGGTCATTCTTTCTGACTGTACAAGAAGCTCCTCAAAGAAATAGAAAGAATGCCTGAACTAAGAGCTCTGTAACATAAAATTAATGACAGTATCCAACCATAGTAGGAGTAACCAACATTCAATAGAAAGGTATGTTGACAATAAAATAAATGTCACTTGACCCAATAATATTTGATAGAAAATAACCAAACAAACCTGCATCTCTCTCTGGGATTGATGAAATGCGACCAGCAAGGTACTTTTCTATTAACTTGCCAATGCTCATCCTGCACTACTTTTGTGTAGGATGTTGAGTTAAGAGATGAAAGTTTAAACAGGTTGTCAAAATAGATTTCCAACTTCTTGGCAATCCCAGGGCAGCCAACAAGATAGATCCCAAGTTCTTTCACCTGGATAAAAATTGAGAGCAAGTAGATAACACACTGATTCAATTTGATGAATATAATTAAAATGCTTTAGGCGGTACACAACAAAACCCATTATGCCTATCAAGAAAATTGATGCCTCTCAATAAAATTGCAGTTAAGGACAGATGAGATAAATTTCTTATTTCATATTACATAATCTAATACCTGGGTGAGAGATTTCCAGTCATTGTTGGCTGATCCAACATAGATGTCTTTACCATCAGATATCCAAACTTTTGCATGGACAATGCCTGACCCCCACCAACTATCAAAAAGTAAAGTGACATTCTTCACATTTGGTCGTCCTGAAGCAAGATCAGATGGCTCCTTGGTGTAATCAGGGTAGACTCCAGAATGCTGCACAAACCTAGTTACGTAAAAACATAGCTCTCCTCTTATTAACCATGAACACAACAGTCTGAGAATATCAGGAATATCACAGATTTGCTAATCTGATTCATGCAGTTAAAATCAATTTCAGGAACATTATCGAAAGCCTCATGCTTAACTATGTAATTAAAATAGCAATGCATATCCGTAATCAGCTGTGTAGATGACACGAACAGACTACCATTTCTCCACATTGTAGAGGTATAAGTGCATGGTGTGCCAAAGACAAGTAGACAACAAAATCTGTAACATCTATAAACCTTCCATAAGCGTCTTATAGGCTAAATTTTACATTACAAAGTTAAAGTAAGACCCTAAAAAAGCATGAGGGTCCATCATAAGATGGGTACTTCTATTTATCAATATTTCCACCCTAATTTCAATAAAATAACACAAGATATTATCATACAATAGAAGCCATCAACAAGACAACAGAGGAGATTGAAATGTTATTCCTTCTCACTTAAGAGGTCAGCCTTTCCAATTTATTCTTTCAGTAAGCTGGTTCGGGAATTAAATTAAGGCGCACATAAAACTTTCCAATTTGATGGTGCAAAGAAGAAGAGAAGCTCAAGCTATTACTTCAAGCTTGACTAACAAAACTACTCTTTCAAGCCACGCGTAGCTCCATCTGTTTAGACCTGAATAAGCTACGCTAATAGATTAAATACTCAACAAACTTTATTTCCTCTTCCCCTTAATAACAAAAGAAACCAACACAGTGCAAGTTTAAAAAAAAAATGTAACTTTTTTACCTCATATTGACCTTTCGATCAGCAGCATCCTCAAGCGCCTTATAAACCTCTCGCCCCTCATCAGCCCCATATCTCTTCATCTGCTCATCAGAGTACCCATAATCCCCTGATTTAGGGTTTTCAGGCTCTGCCACTAACTGCCAGTACTGCGCTATAATATCCAACCTCTCCGTCGCGTTTCCGGCCAACCATTTAAGCACCTCACCTGAAATCCCACCAAAAAAATCAAACATATTACAAAACCCTAGAAATCAAGAAAGCTCCTCCTTTTTTTCCTTTTTTAAATTTTAAAAGGGCGGCGAGGTTACCGGAGGAGAGGACGCCGGGGACGCGGGGGAGGAGGGGCATGTCGGTGGGGATGGACTGCACGAGCCATGCTTTGCAGGAGGAGGAGGCGATGGTCACCGGCGGTGACCAGACCGCGGAGAGAAGAATTAGGAGGACGAGGGTCGAGGGCTGCTTCATCTCTGAGAGGGAACAAAGAGGTTGAGAATTCGGGTTGGATAGAAGAGAAGGCGTTGAGTGTGGTCACCGGCGGTGAGCGTGAGGAGGCATGAACGGGGGCGGAGGACGGGAACAGTTTCCATTGACAGGTGATATCGTGATATCCGCCGGCAGATTGGTTTCTTTCGCAATTGGTAAAACAAGTCAACGTCTGCTCTTTTTTTTTTCCTTTTTTTACATTATTACTCCCTTATAAAAACATTATATTTCTCTTTTTTTTAACAGTAATGAAAATACTACACATGTGATCGATGATGACAAGCGGGCAACAAGCTACGCCGCTAATCCTTACTTCTGAATTGCAAAACCCAACCTACGAAACACGTACTCAGCTGACCCTGTTGTCGCTACATTCCTATTCATGGATTTCTGTACCCTCCTAAGGAACTCCACCATATCAGCTAGCTGCAATTAAGGAAAGCAAATGTATTGAACGCGAACGTAGGGGATGAAACTGTGGTGGTTGTCCTTGCAAGCTTGATCATATTTGCTCACCTTTACCTAGATCTGTCACCCTATCCGCTGCATGCCCAACAGTGAACAATACTGTTGGGGATTCGAAACAATCAAATCGAACACTTGCCCTTCCGGACCTTATGTTTGAGAGTAGAAAAGCAGAAAAAATCACAGCAAATAAAAAGATAAAAAACTTGCAGGAAAGTAAATAAGAAAGAACACACCAGATTTAACAATGTTCGATAATCGTGCCTACGTCCTCGGGAGCCACACCACACAATTCTTTGATTAATATTGAAGAATATTACAATACCCACAAATATGATCTAATCTCTCTGAGATCTCTCTGAAGAATTTTCTCAAAACCCTCTTTTTCTGATGTCTAATCTCTTCTAAGGCGTTCCATACATATAGAAAACCTAAAACCAAAACAGACTAGGAATTCTAAAACCAAAAAATAAAACAGCTTAGGAATCCTAATAACCTGTTACCAAAACAAATTAAGAATCATGTTACCAAAACAGATTAGGAAACCTGCTATCCAACAATTTGTTTGATTCCAGCTTTGAGTCTACATCCCTTAGACTAACAAGTACTCCATTATCAAACCCCACCAACGGAGACACCCCGGTGAGACAACTGTAGACAAGAACGTCTGCCGGCCTTAGAGTAGATGTAGCCTCTCCAGGAAGAGTGAGGAAGTTGACTGGTCGACGCTTCCTCGATTGCTTGAACCTCGATTGCTTCTGACAGTAGATGACATGCTCTCCAAAAGCATTCATCTGCGTCTTACGACAAACTGGGCACACTGTCCCCTCCATGAACAAATTAAGGAACCAATAACCTGCACCTGAGAATGGCCTGGCTTGGTACTCCCCGGAGACATACGCTGCCTCAATCCCTCAACAAGCGTGCATGGCCAACAAGAAATCTTGGGCATCTTTGCTCGCAGGCACCCAACATTAATCGCAACATGCCTCTCTGATAGGTTAAACTCCGTCCATAGATCTCTACAAACGCCATAAAAAAAGATGTCTACCAAGTAATAAAATTGTTAGTCTAAGTGTGTAGACTCAAAACTGGAATCAAGAAGACGAAGGAAAACTGAGGATACAAGAAATAGTCGGAGAGGAGGCCTGGTCGACCGCGGATCCTGTAGAAGACTAAGAAGAAACCGATGTTTTGGTTGGTCGATCGCGGCAGATGGTCCGGTCGATCGTAAACGTGCACGAAGCAAGCCTGCAGAACGACATTTTGTCCGGTCGACCGCAAGACCAAGTGCAGTCGACTGCGAGTCGATCTATCAGTTTCCTAAACTGTTTTATATTCTGTTTGAGTTGGGATTCCTATATATGCCTAAACGTTTTTAGGGTTAATTATGCATTAGAAAACAGAGAGTTTTTGGAGGATTCTTCAGAGAGATCTCAGAGAGATTAAACCCTAGTTTGTGAGCTTGTATTCCTTCTTCAATTAATCAAAGAAATTGTGTGGTGTGGCTCCCGAGGACGTAGGCACGTTGCCAAACCTCGTTAAATCTTTGTTCTTTCTTGTTTACTTTCCTGCAAGTTTTGATCTTCATTTGTGGTAATTTTCTTACTTGCTAAACATTCAAACAAGGTCCGGAAGGACAATGATTCGATTTGATTGTTTCGAATCCCCAACATTACGATATTAACATATATCATAACAAAGTATCCATTATAGATAAATTCTTATGCAAAATTTAGTTTAAATTACATTCTTAAGTTGTCAAAAGTTTAATAGAAAGTGAATTCATGTAGATCTAAAATCTATAATGAGATTTTTTTTCTGCTTCTATATTATTACATTATACTAATTTTTATGTTAATATTACTATTGATAATATAGGAATTAATAATTTATAAGTATATGAATTTAATAATTTTAGCAGTAAGATACCATAATAATGATTAAGTAATTATTCAACATGTAAAAAGAATATAAAATAAATATTATTCCAACGTAAGATTCAAACACATAACCTCAAATTAAAGAAGCAAGTAACTCAACAAAGTATGCTAACAAATATTCATGAATATATATTCATGAATATTTGTCGAATAGGTTAATATACATTGAATTTAAACACTTTCTACCATTCGTCGTGGATTTGAATTCGAATTGGCTGGAGTAAACTGAATTTGAATTTAAAGGTATTCAATCAAATTCAATTCATTTCCACCCTTTGTTAGTGGTGAGTTATTAAACAAAGTCTTAGATTTTGTGAAGCCAAGAGGGGTATACTTGTCTTTTACTTGATGAAACCTCTTGGCTTATAATCCACAAAAATATAAGTTGAGGAATAATTTTTGATGGATTTTAAGCCAAAATAAGCTACTTTGACCATGCCAAACATGCTCTCACTCCCTTAACTCTTTCATTTATTAAAATTGGACAAAATGATTAACTTCACCTTAAATTATAATTGAGCTCCCAGGTTGATCCTTAAAGTATCAATTTACCTATTTTTCTTTTTATACTATGTTTTCTTTTCCTATGTGATCATTTTGTGAAGGCACGGTCAAACACTTAACAAAATTTTCAAAATTATTGAACAACCCTCTTAAAAAGTTTAAAACTTATATAGAAAACCGGGTGAAACAAATTTAAAAAATCACAAGAACACCTTGAAAATTACAAAATATAGATAGCCCCATGAAAATTAGAAACTATATATGATTACTAAAATTCAAAATTTTTAAAAAGCACCCAATTTTCAAATTTCATAAAGCAAATTTTGATCAAAGAGACATCTCTGTGTAACTTGTAAAGAAAATCTAGATTAAAAAAAGAGATAATTCGTATAGTACTGGTCATTTAATGAAGCAAAAGATTAACTAAATGAAAATGAGAAGTGGATTTTGTTCCAAAATCCCACTTTTTTATAAAGACTAGTTGAGATGCATGTGCAATGTACGTGGTTGAATATCATGATTATTTAAATTGATAACAATAGGGTAAAAATAAAAAAAGAAAATAAAGTTTTTTATGGATTGATCATCAACTCAATAATCTCTCTCTTAAATAAAATATTATCATTGTTTTCTTCAACCCAGACTGTGACCACATGATCTATTATTTGTGAGTTATAAACACATTAATTTAATACAACACCTCTATTTATTAGTATCTTGAAGTCTTCAAAAGATGGGTGATCATTCAATTCGTAAAAGAATTTTGCATATGAATTTACTTGCAATATGTCATTAAACTTTTAGTTATGGTTTGACTCATATTCACATTAAATTTTAGTTATTGTTTCACTCATATTTATATTATATAATATTCTCATTCAATTTTATAGCTCATTCTCTGTATCATATAAGTAAAATTGAAAGTATGAAGAATTATTTTCTTACAAAATTAGAACATGAAGATTATGATATATTTCGCTATGTGCTCTAAATATAATTTTTTTTTCTTTCATACAAGGTCCCTATCAAATCTTACCCTAAACGATGTGAATAAAAAATGCTATTATAACTCACTTGCATAGGGCAATTGTATTATATATAGGATACATAACTCATATGGAATATCCACATCTGCTAAGTGGATTTTGTCGTTGTGAGAGCAACATGTTAGAGGCTTGTACTCAAACTTTATGACTCTATAAAAGACACAAGAATTTCTAGTGCATAGCTTATATATCGTAAAAAACATATTGATTCATGAAGAATTTTTTTCAAATAACAATATTATTACAGCGATATTACTATATATGATATTTTTAAATAAATTATAAAGTATATATATGGAAACCTCTATGCTTATAGTCAGTAGTTGTGCTCCACAAAATATGTTAACTTTACATTATAGTTTGCTATTTGTAGTATGGTTGGCAATGTAATTACCTTTCTTTTTTATCTTATTATTCACATTTTTCTTATGTAAGTTCTCATTTGTTAATCACTCAATTGGCTATATTTAGTTTTTATAATATCAAAGGTTAAAATATTCTTTTCTACTTAAAAGTGTTGATATAAATTTTTTAAAAAATATATACACATAGTAGCAATAATATGTACTTCAGTTCAACTCAAACATTGACTCGAAGCCATTTAGAGTGAAGTCTTTTCTATGCTAAAATGGTGATATAGTGATTACAGAGTCTAAAAGTCAAAGAAGAAATTTCTATAAAGAAAAAGTAATTTAATGTGTCAAGTTAAGAAGTAATTTGTAAATTATACATTGGTAATGTAGATAGCTATAAAAAATAATGTATATATCTTTATAAAAACTTCATAGTGAGTGACCAACTATAATCATCCTAATTTCAGCATAATTAATTATTATTTTAGTTACTAATTTGATACGCTTAGCTATGAAATAAATCTCCAGCAAAAATAAAAATTAAGATTGTATTATGATGTAGGTAAATAAATAAATGTTACTAGAGCTCCTCTTTATATTAAATTTAAAAATAATAATTTAAATTATTAAACACTAAATATTAGCTAATGTGAGAAAGTAAAGTAATCTATGATCTATATATGTTTATAGTCAATCAATCAAACATATTAAATTTATGATGAACACAATCAAAATTATATGGTGAATCACATTAAATATAATTTATAAAAAAATAGTACATTAAATCAAACAAATTTTAACCACTATATAGATTATCTAAAAAAATGTACATATATAAACTATATTGCCTAGGAATAGTGATGTCCACACTTA